TATGCCTAATATGCTCGATTATACATTGATTAGATAGTGTTCTTACACGATATCCTCGGTCTCTATTATTTTAAATCGAGGTACTCAATTTACATCTTGATTCTAGAGAAAGTTACAAAAGGCATTTGGTATAAGGCTAGATTTCGGTATGATATTTCATCCTCAAATAAATGGTCAATCAAAAAGGACAATTTAGACCTTAAGGGATATGCTCGCAGCATTTGTGATGGATCTAAAAGTAGTTAGGATTATCATTTGCCATTGATTGAGTTCTCGTACAACAACGAGTTATCACTCTAGTATCGGTATAGCACCGTATGAAGCATTGTATGGTTAGAAGTATCGATCACTAATATGTTAGGTAGAAGTCAAAGAAAAGGAACCTTTAGGGCTAGAATTGATTCAACTCACTATTGAGAAGGTGAAATTGATTCAAAAATGCCTTAGGACTACACATAGTAGATAAAAGAGTTATGTAAATTCTAAAAGGAGACATGTGGAGTGTTACAATAGTGACTTTGTATTTCTTAGAGTTTATCCGATGAAAGGAGTAATTTAGTTTGACAAGAAAGAGAAGTTAAGCTCAAGGTACATAGGACCGTTTGAGATTATGGGTCGAGTTAGAGCGAGTGGCTTATGAGTTGGTGTTGTCGCAATAATTCTTAAACGTACATCTAGTGTTCCATATTTTTATACTAAGGAAATATGTACACGATCCATCTCATATCTTAAAGTCATAATTGATGAAATTAAGTCCTAATTTTTTATATGAGGAGCAACTAGTGGCTATAGTAGACCATTAGGTTAAGAAATTACGGAATAAGGATTTGTGTATGTCAAGGTCATTTAAAATCATTCGATCGAAGAAGCCACTTAGGAGGCCGAGGAGGAAATGAAGAGGAAACATCCTCGTTTGTTCATCTACTAAGGTTCGGGTAGACTCAAAATTCGAGGATGAATTTTTTCAAGGGGAGAATGTAATAACCTAAAAAAAATGGGTTAGGTATAAAAGGAGACGACAACTACTACCCCTTCACTTTTTCTTCTTCTTTCTCCTCATCAACGCCATTTCTATCCAGAAATTTTATCAAATTTCCCTCTATAATTTCTAAGCTAGACTCTTGTTAAATTAGCTTAGAAGAATCCTAAAATACTTAATTTAAGTAGAGTTTAGCTAGCTTGGAGCTTAGGAAGCTTGAAGAGCTAAGATTAATTAGAGACTTAAAGGAAAAAGTGCAAAAGGGAGAATTTTTAGCAATTGATCTTTGAATTAAGGTGATTATATGTAGTTAGTGATGATATTAAAATGTAATTGCATTGGATTATGAATTGTTTGAGGAATTGTTTAGATTAAGGTTATAGTTTTAATTGGAAAAAAGTGATTCTAGGTGATTGTAATGACTTGAATGACGATTAATTATCTTGGATAAGTGAATTAAGAAGTTAATTTGAAGTAAAATTAAGTGAATTTAATAAATTGAGAGGTTGAAGATGATGAATAATGACAAATCTAAAAATTAGAAAAATAATGAATTAAGTCATAAAAAGTATAATTAGAGGTAAATGAAATGCTTATTTGGTGCATTAGAATTGATTATTTAATCGAATTAAGAGTTTGAATTAGAGGTTTATTATAGAATTAAATTAAGGATTGATAATGAGATATAATTAGATAATGGTTAGAATTGCTAAAGAGACTATAGAATTAGTCTAGTTCTATTCCTATGAGTAATCTTTTATTTTTAATTCTAGAATAATTCATTGTTTTGATTATTCTTTGGTGTATGGTATTGATGGATGATCCATCATTTTGTGATGCTAGATTCTTCAAAGCGGGTGACTTCATCCCAATTGTCATGATTCTCTTCAGTTCTTAAAATTGTAATGTGAGTGGATATTATATTATGTACTATTCTTGAATTTTATCTCGCCTTGCATCATCGATTTGAGAATGATTTAGAAGCATTTTATTAGAACGTAGATGAGAACAAATATCATGAATGCTGAAATGTTTTTGTATCAAAATGATTTGATATGGACCGATCTTGATATGTGTTTTCGGATTTGAACAAATATGTTATAAATGTTATTTTGATTATTCATGTAATTTTTGAAAATGCATGCATGTTATTTGAAATACTGATTTGAAAAATATATAAGTTTGTTTGATTTTCAAAAAATATTTTTGAGACTCTAAGGAACCTAGCTACTAGGGGGTAGCCTTTGAGCTCTATGAAACGAGGCTTCAGCTAACATGAGAGGTAGAGTGCTAACTCGTGTGTAGGCCAACGTATGAAAACCTAGTCTCGGGGGATATGACGTTTGGGTATTTGTACCCAATGATATGTTATTACCCAATGGGTGTATAAAAACCTATAGATGTATTTTTATATGAGTACGATATATGTATGTATAAATGTTTTAATGATTTGAAGTGAAATGGTTTTGAACCTTTTGAGTTATGATATGAGATGCGTTTTAGATAAGCACGTGTTTTGAGAAACTTGCATAGCATGTTGAGATGAATTTGAAATAATGGTCCCTAGTTCGTTTTCTTTCCTTAGCATATTATATAATGTATACTCACCGAGTTGTTGATTGCTCACCCCTCATTATTTTAATTTTGTAAGATATTGAGGGATTGCCTATTGCTTTTTTTGGTTGCCTTTCATGAAGTCGGCACTCTTGTCGTGCAACTTACTTTAATTGTAATTCCTTGAACCTACGTATGTTTTGATTTGTTGTATCTTTAGAACTCTGCGAGTTATAGCTTTGGGTAATGTATTAGAATTTGATTATGAATTGTATTGAGGTTGTAAGAAATGCTTATTAAGATATGGTAATGTTAATTGAAATAATATTTAAAGCGATATTGATTTGAGGACTATAGTTTAAGCTCGATAATGATATTTGAGGATTTAAGTTTAGATATTCGAGACTTGCTTGAGTCGAGGTGAACCTTATGATTTTTTCGATCCTCGTGTCCGTTATGGCCCACTCCCGACGTCATGATATATATTGTGTAATTTGTAATTAAAAGTGAAGTTTTGATGTTGTTACATTTACATTTGAGCTGACAAAATGATCTAATTTTTATTGATTCAATTAATTTTTTAAACATTTTCTCATGACTAAAATCATTTACCATGAAAAGAATAGAGAAAATAACAACAATTAACACATATGTGGATATGAATAAGCTAACACATATGGATATAAATGAGAGATCACCCATTTCATAAATATAGTGGGTAACTAGAAAGGAATAACCATATTTAGATTTTTTAAAAAAATTTCCTTTGATTCTTAAGAACAATGATATTTTTTTTGTATTCGAGTTATTATGTGCATTCAATGGAAACCAAATAATTTGAAGAATAAATATGTTAAATCTATTAGGCTTCTTTTACTAAGTAATGTCATATATGTTGTTAGGTTCGTGTTAGGATTGGGTTTGGGATGTTTGGGATTTGGAACAGGATTGGATCCGGAGTCCTTAGGATTTGAATTGATATTTGGTCTAGGTTGTTCGGGGTTCAATCTTGGATTGGTGCCAACTTTTAGATGGATACCGAGTTTAGATTGTCTAGAGTTCGGGTCTTGGGGTTTGAACTGGTGTTGAGGTTCGAACCGATGCCTAGTTTTGGACATTTGAGGTTTTGGCCTCGATTAGGTCTAGGGAGCTAGGGATTCGAAAGTGGATTACTTTTGAGATTCAAATCGAGGCCAAGTCTAAAGAAATCAAGGTTCGGACTCGTATTTGGTCTTAGATTCCTATGGTTCTAGTCGAGATAGACTAGGGTTCAAACTAGGATTACCTAAAAAACTAAAAGAACTAGGATAAACGAACAATAACCATTGTTCATTTACCGTATTTGAGTTCTTTGGTTTGATTTTTTTCTTTTTTTTTTTGGTTTTGAATAGCAGTCGGGCCTTGGTCGCTTTTCAACCTAACCGAGCACTGCACTGCCTTCATCATTTCTTTTTTTTTCCTTATATATATATAATATCATGAAATTAGGTGTAAAAAATATGAAAAAATAAATCATTATTATTTTTTTTAATTTTATGTGCAGTTTGAAAAGGGTAGAATATATATGATATTTTTTAATATTTTAGTTTGAACATATATATCTAATTTTATTACTCTTATTGTTTAAAATTTATTTCTTCAATTATTTGCTTCTTAGTAAATTCTCATCAAATTAATTTTTAATATAATTTTATTTGTTAATAAATTTGATTTTTTAATATATGAATTTTAGAATAAAATTTTACAACGTCGATGTTTTATTTTTTTAAATATATTATTATAATTTATACAATAAATTATTTTTATGCTTTTTAAATGAGTGTTTTATTTTTTAAATTCGATTATATATATATATATATATATATATATATATATATATATATATATATATATATATATATGGGAGAGAGAGCTAAAAGTATGTTTTAGATAGTTTGACTCAATTTTTTTAAAAAAATTTAATAATCGATTAACCAAATTCACAAGCTTTTTTTTCTTTTTTTATATATATTTATTCAGAATTTATCGAACTAATTTTGTTATAGTTTTTATTTTAGTCTATTAACTTCGATATATTCAATACAATTTAGGTGGATTTTTTTGTATATTTTTTTATTTATCTTATATACTTTGAATTTGTTAAGTGTGTGTGTGTTTATATATCCGCACACATAATATCAATTATTTGTTATTTATTTTTTCATATTCTAAAATTTATTTTTTTAAAAAATAAAATAATTTAGATAATGTTTTGAAAGAACCTCCTAATTATTCAAATACAAAATTTTATGGTAGTCTTATTAAATATTTTGTTAATAAATATATATAAATCAAATAATTTCGTTAAATATATAAATTTGATTTATATTAATCATCGAAATAAAATTTCTATTCGTACTCTACCATATGAATACTTAGCCCTATATATGCAATAGTTGTTTGATCGTAATATAGCATGGGTGTCTAACTAGTGAGGTCTAGAGTGTACGGGATTATAGCGAGGACTAGTAAGTGAGCTAGGACCGGGGCTTGGACTTGATAGGGTTTGAGCACCCAAGTTTGGACCAAGACCAATTCTAGAGAGCCATGTGATTGAATTGAAGCCGAGTGCTAGACACCTAGGGTTCAAACCAAGGTTGGAGGTGGGGCCGAAATGGTACTGTATTCAAAGAATCTATAGGTTAGTTCCAATTAGTTTTTTTTTCCCGTGCTACACTTGCGGTTTGAATAAAATATATAAAATCATTTATAAAAATTATTTTAGTTGGATAGTCTGTTTCATTGTGTGAATCTATAAAAATATATGAAATCAAAATAAAAAAATTAATTATAATTTTTTAATAAAAAATTTGTATTTAACTATTTCTTATTTGTGCTTTTCATAATTTTTCCTTTAGAAAAAGATTTATCATTGTTAATTTATGGATTATTAACTAAAAAGAAAATTAAATATTTTTTTAAAAAAAAAGCTTTAAAATTTTATAAGATTGTATAAAAAAAATAAATAAAAATTATTAAAAGCTTACATAGAATTGAACAAATTATTTTTTTGTTTAATGTTGATGAGAATATCGATTTTTGAAAAAATATGCATTTAATTTTTATATATTTATTTACAAAAGAATGAATAATATTAAAATAAAAAAATATATTAATTTGAATCATTGAGTGGTTAAGCCAAAATATAATTTTAATTATTTAGTTTAAAATAAGTTAATTTTAAAATATTTATAAATAAATAAATAAATAGTAAATGCTTATTGTAGTAGTAGTTGCACAGTTAATTTATAAAAAAACAACGATTCGATATTTTTTTATATATCATAACTATACTAAGTGAGTTTAGAGTTTTCACTATAAAACAAAAAATACTATAAAAAAAGCTAACTTGCAAGGAATCTATTAATTAAATTTGAAGTCAATAGACTAAAATAAAAATTATTACAAATTAGAAACAAATTAATAAAACATGTGAATTCTTTTTTATTTTTTTGCCCCTCCTTCTTAAATATATATTTTTTATTTCTATGCTATGCATGGCTAGTATTTGAATATAGGCCTCACGCGTGAGCAACCATTTTCTTTTTATTTTTCACAATTTACTTTCAACTATTAATTAATTAATTTGAGTTTTTTTCTTAAAAAAAAAAAAAACCAAGAAAAGATGATTTAAAATACACTTTTAATCTAAAAATGTAATTTAGAAAAATTATATATATTAATCATGCCATTATAATTTAAAAGTTACCTAAATCTATTTTTCAAAGAAAAAATAATCATGTTCTAAAAATTTATTCCAAAATCTATACATATAGAAAAATAAATCAAAACTATCAGTAAATATAATTTTAAATTAATTGGATGAGAATTTAAAAAAAAATGACAAATTAAAGTAGTAAATTTTAAATAATAAAAATAATTAACAAAAAATCCTGAAACAAAATGGGACTAAATCACAATATAAGCAAAGTTTGAAAATGAAAAAGAAAAAAAATTAAAAAAAATGATAAATTAATGTAGTAAAATTTAAATAATATAAAAAAATTGAGAACAAATTATTTGAAATACACTTTTAATCTGAAAATGTATTTTAGAAAAAGTTATATATATCATGTCACTATAATTTAAAAATGATCTAAATCTATATTTCAAAAGAAAAAAATTATGTTCGAGAATTTATTCTAAAATCCATACATATAAAAAATAAAGCAAAACCATCAGTATATATAATTTTAAATTAATTGAATGAGAATTTTTTTAAAAAAATTATAAATTAAAGTAGTAAATTTAAAATAATAAAAATAATTAACAAAAAAAAACTAAAATAAAACTAACCAAATCACAATATAATTAAAGTTTGAAATTAAAAAAAAAATGACAAATTAATGTAGTAAAATTTAAATAATATCAAAAAAAAAATTGAGAAAAAATTATTTGAAATACATTTTTAATTTAAAAATGTATTTCAAAAAAATATATATTAATAATGTCACTATAATTTAAAAATTATCTTAATCTATTTTTCAAAAGAAAAATATTCATGTTTTAAAATTTTATTTAAAATCCATACATATAGAGAATAAATCAAAGTCTGTTAGTAAATAAAATTTTAAATTAATTGGATGAGAATTTAAAAAAGATGAAAAATTAAAGTATTAAATTTTAAATAATTAAAATAATTAAAAAACACTAAAAAAATAGAATCAAATTGCAATATGATTAAAGTTTGAAATTGAAAAAGAAAAGAGAATTTTTTTTTTAAAAAAAAGATAAATTAAAGTAGTAAATTTTAAATAATAAATATAATTAACAAATTAAAGTTTGAATTTGAAAAAAAAAGAGTTTAAAAAAAGATAAATTGAATTAGTAAATGTTAAATAATAAAAATAATTAAAAAAAAACTAAAACAAAATAGGACCAAATCACAAAACGATTAAAGTTTGCAAAAGAAAAGAGAATTTTTTTTTTATAAAAAAAGATAAATTAAAGTAGTAAATTTTAAATAATAAATAGAATTAACAAATTAAAGTTTGAGATTGAAGAAAAAAGTATAAAAAAATTGAAAACCAAAGTGTTACAAAAGTGACATAAATAGTGAAAAGAATAATGATTTATGGGAGTGTGAATAATGATTTGTGAGTATGTGAATAATGTTTCAAATAGTGACATGAAGAGTAAAATATAATTTTACTTTAGTTTTTTTAGTAATACCTCAAGTATACAATTAAAAAACTAAACATATATTTTGAAAAAAAAATCAATTAAACAAGTTCTAAAAAACTAATTAAAAAATTAAAAAATTAAAAAAAAAAAAAACGAGAGACCGAAAGTCAAAATAATATCAAATTACACCTTTAGCTTTTCAAGAGGTCCCAGCTCGTGGGTTGCACTTAGGAATGTATATTATTAACGTCTTCCGACAGCATTGATTAGAAATAACTTTTAAGGATTTCGATTGGAAATAAATTTTAAGGATTTTGTCCGTATTTAGTCTCTCTACTTTTGATTATAAAATAATATCAAATGAACTGTCGACAAAGTCTTAATGAAAAGAAGTGATTCTCAACGAAGTCTTAATGAAAAGAAGTGATTTGCATAGTGAAGCTCTGATCTTTCTGTTCCTTATTGTTTTGACAAAATCTCCATGAAAATCTAGCTTGCTCTCTTTAGCAAGATTACTGATTTGTGTATTTGTTAGAACTATCATCATTGGTTCTGGTTGTTTGCAGAAAAGAAAATGATAAATAATGGCTCTGAAATGCTTACAATTGCCGAATCTGTTGATTTTGCTCTACCTTTTGCTCTTATTACTGATGATATAAAATTGGTTCAATTCTTATTGCAGAAAAGAAATCTGTTGATTCCTGTATTAAAGAAGTCCAGATCGATTATGATCATCGTATATTCTGGTTAGCAAATTGGAAAGATTATTGAGTCTAGTAAGGATTGCGAATCTTGCCAACCCAACCTCTTTGCTGCTATTACTCTTTGAGATAACTACAAATCACTTCCCAACGTATTAGGAATTTCACAAGTTCAATGTGAGCAAAACTATAGGGATTAACTCTAAAAAGTTGACTTGATAGTTAAGAAGGTATATATGTCCCCTTCCTTGACTTGTTACATCCGAACCTTGAAACCAAAACTCAGAGAAATTTATTAAATTGGTCTTAATGTATTAAACCAATATAAAAGATGTATCTTTAAAATAATGTGAAAAACAAAAAACAAAAACTTTGTTTGTATCTTTGACCGTCTAGTAAAAAAAATTACCAAGCATTCTCTCTAGACTCTAGCAGTAGCATTCAAACCTTAAGCTCATCGGGTCTAGAAATTTGTATAGGAGTTGGGCTCAGTTTATATAACAGTCTGACAAATGTTATTGTAAACAAATCTTAAGCTCATCAAAAGAAGAATCCAAACCTTTATATATAAGTCTTTCTGGTCTCATCATTTCTCTTAAAAAATTCTTAACAAAGACTCCCTCAAGAACCTTTCTCTTCTCCTCTCTACGTCTGCCATTACCCTTTCTCTTCTCTCTCAATCACAAATTATCTTTCTCAATTTGATCACATCATTTCACTAACTAAAATCCTTCTCTCTGCCTCTATCGATCATTACCTTGCTATTCTCCCTCAAGAACCGTCTTTCTCAATCAATAACTTTCTCTTGATCAAGAAACTATCATGAAGCTTCACTCCCTTTAATCAAGAAGTCTCTTTCTTGATCAAGAATACTGTCTCTCTTTTCATTCTCTTCTTAGTTCTCTAAACTCCAGCTTTACTGATCATGGAAGACTTTAAGCTTCACTGTGGTTACTTGGGAGGGAATTCTTACTATGGCTATGATTCTTTTCTTGTGCAATGTGACGACATGTATTGTTACACAGTCGCTACTTCTGATCCTCCATGCCTCTTCAATTGGTTTGTTGAGCTGTTTTGGATTAAACTACCAAATGATGGTAAAAGACTTAGGGTCTCTATGGACATCACTTGGGACCAACACTCTCACAATGGCAACACGAAAAGTACTCCTGTCACCCTTCAATTCTGTCATGAGATTTGTTGCATCATCTTTCAAGTTTGTCCTCAGGAAAACTTTCCAAGATCTTCTCTGGAACACTTCTTGAATCACGATTATGTAGATTTTTTCGGTTTCCAAATGCTGCACAAAGTCCAATATCTTCGTAAGGCCTACAATCTTGTTGTGAAAAACTGGTTTGATATCCCACGTCAGGCCCGTCTGTCAAATCCAGCAAGATTTCGTAACTGTTCCAATTTGTCTCTACAAAGAATGGTATGCATGGATTTCTGGAAGTGGTATGCAAAGCCTACTGGCCTTCTTCAAAGCAACTGGAGGTTGAATAAACTTTCTACTGATAAAATAATGTACGCGACACTAGATTGCTATTTGGCCTACAAGTTGTCGGTTCCCCTCTCAATTCCTCGTAAGATAGAATGAGAGGTATTAATTCTTTATTTCCTTTTTATCAATTCTTTAATCATGAGTTAAAAATATTATGCATGATCGGTTGGTTAAAGATTAGTTCTTGGTGGTATTTATGTTTTCTCTGCACCCGCAGAAGCTCAAAATTTCCAGGGACAGCTGATTCTGCTGGCTGATATTTGATGTTTGCGGGCTATGGAGTTCTTTGTGGTGATGCTTAACCTATTCTGCTGTTACTTTTGCTTTGGTCTTTAGCCTTTGATCATGGCTAGTTAGTAGCTGCTTTAGAGGCTTCCCTTGGATGAGTTTTCCTTGGTTTAATACTTTTGGGCTGCTGAGTGTTTTTTGAAGTGGATGTAATTGGATCCTGTGTTGATTTTGATCTTCGTAATCATAAATTTAAGCACACGCGTGATGTGTTTTGTACGTTCAGGTCCAAATTTAAATTTTATAAACTTAGGTGCGTCCAAACTCTTTCAGATTTAAGACCAAACTCTCATCCTCCTACCCTAGAAGAGAATTATTGCAAATTGCAGAATTATCCTACAATAACAGTAAATCAATCATCTTGAGACATATCATTCAAAGTTTTAAGGATTAATCAGTTGAAAAAAATGATCTCAGAAATCAATATCACTGTTACCATTACAAACCATCCAAGTACACTAGCATGTAAATAGTATACAATATAAGAATAGTTACTAATTATCTCAAATTTATAATTTTGAAAGGAAGTTTAATTTCATTTCAAAAGAGTAGTTCTAAGGTACAACCATGTTATCATTGAAAATTGTAGATAGAGTCAGTAAAAAAAGTGTCTTTAGTTTACCAGGTTATGAGTTTGATTCTCATTCTCGAAGAACTCTTTCCTAATTTTTATGTTGCATGATACATGAATTATTGGTGAGTTCAAATAATCTGACTTTTAAAATTGATTGACTCTTGGAAAGTTTTTTTTTTTTTTTCCTTCTTCTTTTTTGTGTGACACTAAAAATGAGCTCCTAGTAGAATAAAATATTCCAACTCTTAGAATTAATCAAAACTAATTGTGATACGGCATTGACCTAACTCTTTTTTATATTGCATTAATTATACATGAGTTGTTGGTAGACGCAAAGAGTTTGATCCTTAAATCAATCAAATCTTAAAAAATATTTTTTTCTTTTATGTGACATTAGATATAGGTTGTTGGTAGACTCAATGAGTTTAATTTTTAAAATCTAACAAAAATCAAACCTGATATAGGGTTGACTTAGTTCAAAACATAATGAATTTATTCTCAATTCATGTAAAAACTGACTCTTAAATATACTACCACCTATAAATAATAATAATAATAATAAATGAAGTTACAACTATGCTTGAGATACCACCTTTTGCTATACAAAGTATGCCCGCATTACCAAAATCTGTAATTGAAAGATTTACAACTATGCTATACCACCTTTTTTTTTTTTTTTTTGGACGAAAACATAAAAGATTTACTTAAATTTGTCGCATTTGCTACCCGCCTCCATGGATTATCTGTATTAAATTTGGCAGGTTAAAGCTAGTCTGGATTTTGCTGTTGAGCCCATGTGTTTGATCCTCATGCATCCCACGCAGCATTGAAGGAAGACATGATAGCTGCCACTGCCAGCTTCTGAAATGCTACGGAGTGAGATTTGCCATGCTCTTGATCTGGCTATGGCTTTAGAGTTGGCTGATGCTGTTGTTCTTGGTCTCATCTTTTCATTTTTGGTCCTCTAAATGTACTGGAAAATTAGTTTTCATGCATTCAATAAAATTAAGAGGCTGATGACAGCATTAAGCAAAACGAGAAGGTAGATCTTAATCATGAAGGATGTGTAAAAATTACTCTTGACAAAAAATGGTCAGGTTCCAGTTAATTGTGTTAATCTGATATGTAATTGGATTCACCTGGTCTATTCAGATCTTCTAGCTTTTGCATCCAGTTCTGATCCCTGCTTCTCTTTCATCCTTTCAGGTTTCTCTTCTACTTCTGACTCGTTATTCTTCAGCTTTGCTTGTCTCTTCGATCACAATCCTTTCATAACTGGTAGAAAAACAAAACCCCGAAAAGAAAATACGACTAAATTCAAAAGCTACGAAAAAAGAAGACAGTAGCGCCTATAACTCAAGACTCTTGAATTGTAGAATTTCTAAGAGAGTTTTGCTCCATAACTGATGCAGACCGATGAGTCTTGAAATTATAAAACAACATGAGTATAACAGAAGTTGAAAAAAACTATTAACTCAATTTTGAGGTTTTTTGAACTTAGTTCGATATCAAACGTTCTAACGAGCAAACTCATAGCTTTGCTATAATGTAAGAGTGTTTTTGGCTAAAAAACAAAAACTATTTCGGCCCCTCAAATTGACTTTTACTGTTTTTTAGGATTTTTCCTTGGTTTTTGAATTTTTGTATTTGTTTCTTTTTTGAGTTGATTTTGGAATTTCCTATTTATGTATGATTTAGAGAAAAAAAAACACTACGTTTTTTTCATTAATAAAACTTTATGAGAAGTCTCAATTTTATTTTAATTTTTGATATTCTTTGAATCAACGAATTTGAAATCTATTTTTTGGTATTTCTGTTCAAAAATAAGTTGTAGTAGACCAGCATCTAGAATTTATGTGTGAGTTTTCAAACCAACGATATTTATTTTCTTTTTGTAAGTTTTTGCTATGTAAATAACCTGTTTAATTTGAAGAAAATATTGGCTCTGTCAAACTCCAGCCAAGGAATTACTAACAGATTTAGACATTAGTTCCTGAACCCTTTAATACCAAAGCATTCGTAATTGTTTTAAGAACCAAGAAGATCCAATCTAGATAATCTTACTTTGTTTCAACTTTAGATATTATTGTTGATCGTTCGCCTTCAGTCAACCATTCATCCCTAGTTACAGTACATTTATCTTTTCAATATGAAAGAAGTAATTAGTGGGTAATCTAACTCTGACTGGAGCCAAAAAGATGAGCCAAGAAAATTACAAAACATGGGAGTGGAAGAAAGATTGATTTATAATTTTTCTTTGTGTGTGAAAAAAAAATTATTAATTTTTTAAAATTAAACAAACTAAAAGAAAGTAAAAAGAATTTCTAAAGCTGAATCCAATTATCACTTAAAAAAATATATTAAAAAAGTAGGTCCAATATCAGTACGTAGGTTTATTTGGATGCAAATGCACAAAATAGGCCTATAATATTAGTCCACTAAGTTTAATTCAAATGCTCACATTGTATTTGTTTGAAAAACTAAGAGACTTGAAAAGTTCACTGTTCATAGTTATTATTTATGCACATCCATCTTCACTAATCTTCGCTATTCACTCCTTTGGATCCTTAGATCATTCGTCATCATTTTTTACCGTTTGTTCACATTAGATTCACTATAGTTATATTTAAATTATACAAACTATTACATTTTGGTCCCTTGATGTTTCCATAATTATTATTTTAATCCAAATCTTCACTATTCATAATAATTATTATAAGCATGATTATTTTATTATTTTTAAGTATACTATTATCATGGATTCTTATGATTTTTAAATAAGAGTAGTGTAGTTGGATATTTATATATATTAGAATCAATTTTGTAATAGTTTTTATTTCAATTTATTGACTTTAATATATTCGTTAAAACTAAGGTTGTTTTTTTTTAATTTTTTTTTTATGCTATGAACTCTTAATGCTGGGTATGATCATAACGTGTGTGTGTGTGTGTGTGTGTGTATAAATCATTTGTTTTATTGAAAATTAGATATGTACCTTCAAACATAATACCAATTATTTGTTATATATATCATTTGTTTTGTTGGAAATTATATATGTATCTTCACACATAACACAAATTATTTGTTATTTATTATTTTTCATATTCTAAAATCAAATTTTCTCATATAAAATAAGTTAAATAATATTTTGGAAGAAGCTGCTCAATTATTCAAATATAGCCTTTTACGCTAATATTATTTATTATTTTGTTAATATATATATATATATATATATATATATATATATATATGCATACTTTCAAAAAAAAAAAAAAAAAAAAGCTTCCCATAAACATTAAATAAGGATAAAAAAAATTTGTTAATTTATATACAACTTTTTATGTCAATTATTGCTTTATTTTTTCGATGCAATCTTATGAAAAAAGAAATTATTAAAGCATTTTTTTTAGCTTTTACATTCAATTTTCTATTTATATTATTGTAAGTTTTTATTTAAGAATAAATGCATAAAGAAGAACAAATAATTTTTTTTTTAATATGAAATTTTAAAAAAATACATAAAATTAAAGAATTTTACCTGTTCAATTTGACTCGTAGTGTAGCACGAGCAAACAACTTATACCTTACTAAAACATCTTTCTTCCGCCTCCCTTTGTAGTCTCTTCTTTTTCTTTACACACATCCTTTTGTTTTATATTAATTTGTAGCACATGTTCTTCTTTTATCATCATCATCATCATCATTATTATATCTTTTATGTTGAAAATAATAATCTTTTATCTTCTTTCCAAAAAACCTAAGTCTACTTCTCTTTTATATATATATATATTTCAATTGAATCTGATAGAAGATTGAAACACAAATATAAGCATCAATAGAAAATAACGATGTTTTTCTTTAAAAAAATAAGTATAACAATGACATAATTGTCTCACAAAATTTATTTATAAAAAAATGTGTAAATTACGAAAAACACCATATGGTTAAATGGCATAAACACTATGCATGCCCTATAATTTTAATTCAAAAAACAACTTATATTATAATTTCATTAACAATGTCAAAATTCTGAGAAAAAAAATCTAAATTATTACAAATTTGCAATTATTTTTTTTTGAATGACTACAATGTTCTTTGGAAATATTTTAGAGAACATCATGTATTTTAATTTCATCTTCAGCTACATTATTACATGATAATAAATGAATATCAGCTTCATCAAAAGGGAGGAAAAAAAAACAAAAGGAATTTATGGAGCTCAATAACTAAACAATAGAACATAAAACATAGCTACAGAAAATAGGGTCGTTTAATGATCATGTCTTGGGATTATTGTTCCAATCTTAACAACACATTTACATTGACTAATATTTATGCTTGCTTAATATTTAACTTTTCATGCAGACATAAATATTAATTTAATACATTAAATAAATATTCATACATTAAAATAAATTCATTCACTCATATATAAATATTTAAAGAGGTACAAAAATCAAGAATATTACAAATTTGACTTAAAAAGTAGTCCGGTAGTCGACCCAAACTAAGTGTATTCTAGGACTAATTTATGGAAAAAAAAAAAGATTTGGTATATGGTAATACAAAAATTAGTTCAAAAATACTCTCTCTCTCTCTCTCTCTCTCTCTCTCTCTCTCTCTCTCTCTCTCTCTCTCTCTCTCTCTATATATATATATATATATATATATATATATGATTTAAGTCTAATTTATATAGAAGTGAGAAGAATGTTATATAAATAAATCTTAAGCTCGCACACCCTTTGCTATATGGCAGGACTCTTTTTTTTTTTTTTTTAAGTTAGAATTCTCCAAAACTAAGCTACGTAAATCATTAAAATATCGAGGAGACCTCATTAGTCCCAAATATATGACCTCATTATCAATTGATTCCCGAACTTTGTAATTTTCTCCCAAAAGTAATTGAGATTAGACAATGACACTTTCCCACTTAATTTGGGGATCCAATTGAGATGAAGACAGTGTTTAGAGACTCAATCGAGACTACCTATACAGTGGGGATACCATTTTAGATTTGTCAAGGTATCCTGTCATGAAACTCGTCTGAAATACCCAGAAGAGCGATTTAGTAGAATCTGTCACCTTTATATATAACTCTATCTGATCTCATCATTTCTTTGAAAAATTCTTAACAAAAAACTCTTCTTCCCTCACCTCTCTAACTTTGCCTGTGCCATTACCCTTTCTCTTTTCTCTCAATCACAAATTATCTTTCTCAATTTATCACATCATTTCATTAATAAAATTCCTTCTCTATGCCTCTACCATTACCCTTTCTATTCTCCCTCAAGAACTGTCTTTCTCAATCAAGAACTTTCTCTTGATCGAGAAACTATCAAGAACCTTCACTCTCTTTAATCAAGAAGTCTCTTTCTAGATCAAGAATACTGTCCCTCACTTCTTACTTCTCTATGTTAGCTAGACTCCTATCACGAACAGCTGCTAGACTTCTTATCACGTACAGCTGCTGTTATCCTTATCACGTACAGCTTATGTTATCTTATCCCCTATCTATTTGTTACTTGTTACGTTGTACATTCTTAGTCAAACTACAACTCATGTACAGTATATATATTTACATGATACAATGAAATCAGGGACAAAGGAAAAAACCTTTAAATCAAAACCACTACATGGTATCAGAGCCAATGGCTAACCAAATTGTTTCCGTATCTTCTACCTGAACCACACCCACCTCAGCTCCTAATACTACCTATAGTTTTGCTATTAAACTCAACCTACAAAATTACCTTACATGGAAAACCCAGTTTGCTCCTCTTCTTAATTACCATGGCATGAACAATTTAATTGATGGCTCACCTGGTCCATTCGTAACAAGAACTTCAATCACAAATTCAAATGAAACTGTTTCAATCCAGATTATACACAATGGTTTAAAAGAGACCAACTGTTGCTATCATGGATTTTTTCATCTCTATCTG